AGTGCACTGACATCTCATACTTTTACTGCGTCCTTTTATCGGCCGCTCTGTCTCCATTCTCAAAATCGTACACTTCAACCCGATCCTTCCGATGACAGGTGGCCGAAACAGGGCGTTTCCGCCTTTGGCGCCGCGCGACCCGCTTTCAGCTGTCCGTAGACTGTGGATTCGTGACTTTGTTTCTCTTGGGAAGCTGAATTTGGAATATTTTCTCTAGTGATCTCATTTTGGGAAGGATAGCGAGAACTTCCCGGCAAGAATTTCTTTGAACGAGTAATACTCAAAATATCAAATATACGAAAATCAGGTTCAGCTTTTATAGTGCCAATAATTAAACAGCCTCCACAATGGTCACAGATTTTCAAATGGTTCTTTAATATAGAACCGTTAATTTGCTGCAACTATAATAACATTCGTTCTCATTTTTCTCACTCTGAATAATTACTGCGGTATATTGCACTCCTGCGAAGAGGAAGTTTTTCGAGGGTCGATTGATATTCACCTCATCCTAGACCGCCTTATTTCTTCACGAACCATTTTCGTCAAATATGCGAATCCGGAAGTTTCCGACTGTGAGCGTGTACAGGGCGGCCACAAATTACGGTAACGAGGTGAAGTGCTCATGAAAATCTGACAAAGCTATGTGGCTGAGCTGAAGGTCGCCTCAGTGCTAAATTGTTTAAACGAGCGCGCGCGGGAAATTTTTTCGAAGAGGCGAGCATCTTGGCGTTTAAGTCCAACCGTAAGTGGCGAAGGGCTCGAAGTGAAGCGTTACATCATCGAGGAGAGGCGCGACTGTCAAACGAGGAGATCGACGATAGCTTTTATGGAATAACTTGTTACCTATTCAACCAATTTCTAAGCTTCGCACATTGTCAGACTCGCCACAGAGAGACGAGTCCACTGCTCTAAAGAGCCCTTCACGTTTCAAAAGTTAGGAGCAGTATTGTAGGAACACGACTAGTGGATAACAGAAATACATTTATTGGAGGTTGATGAACAATGAACAAAGTTACTTCTCAAACTGGCTCCTTCGTTGGCATTGAAACAGAAGCGAAGCCTTCCAATGATTTGGCGTGTGGATAGGCGGCTTTAAGCGTACCTGGACACTTCTTGAGCGTACATTCGAATCTTTGACGTTGCGATGACGCTGAGAGCAGGCTCTCGTCCCCAGCATAGGCGATATAAGTGATCCTTATATTTGAGGGAGGAATTGCATGGGCTCTTCTCAAACGCAATGACTCACAAGCACTTATCTCTACCCCAAATTTTCTTTGCCCATTTTTCATTTGTATCTCCCTCGCTGAAATGTTGATTACCCGCGGAATTTTCCTTACTTGCCACATCATTAATCGAGAAACAAGTCTCGTCCGGACCCGTCCCTCGATTCTTGGCAAAACGTACCGCTTTTACAAATGGCGTAGTTTCGAACTCCGGATTCCCCTCTGCACTTGCGTGTATAGGGTTACTCCTAGCATCGTCCTCTCGACAGCGCGTTGGATAACGCTGACCGCATGCTCGTCCTGCCTGCGCAGAGTCCAAGTCTCTGAGGCGTAGGTTAGGGCAGGAAGGACAGCGGAATCGAAGAGGTGGGCACGGAGCCGGATGTTCTAACTCCCTCGATGTTCTTAAACGCTCCCCTGACATTCAGAACTTTTTCCTGCACCAACCGGCACTACACAGTCTTTGCTTTGTGTATCGGAGCGGTTCCCCCCCCCCCCCCTTACAACCTTCTGAAGTATCCAAGGCTCCATTAGGCCATAGGCCTTTTCAACCAGATGCATCTATAAATTTGAAGATGTTCGAGATGGTCTGAGACGCTCTTATTACTGCAATGTTGTTTTTACATGCTGGATCGTAATAACTTCGTATGCAGTCAAGCACACTGCCGAAAAGCGACCCGCTCGTGTAGAAAGCGACTGTCACTTATATCAGGTGATAGATGTTTCATACTAGACCACTGACACACACAATGCTGTTTACTCATGGAATGGATAAACGCATAGACGTATAAACGCAAGCTAGATTTATGAGAACAGCAGTGATGATGCGGTGAATCCGTGAGAAAAAAGAAAAATCTGTCATAATGGTGCAACGCTGACTTGATATTCTTCCAAAATGGAACTTGTATTGTATGAGATGCGCGTAAAGCCAACACAAAAGGATACGACATAAAACATCTTTCACACGCTGTTTTGCTGTCTACTCTGAATAGTAGCAACAGCTCTGACGGAGTGGAGCGGATTGTCACTTTAACACTCGTATAACTTCGAATATCCTTTTAAAGGAGGAATTCACGATTAGAATGAAGGTCGAAGAAAGGGAAACTGACCTAGTTGAGGGACCCACGGACCTCCTGAGGGTGCGAACTGACGCGCAATTCGCATGGAAAAATTTGACCTCGGCGACCTATCATGCCTCAAAGCTGGCGGGCCCGCCCACCGATCATCTGATCACTCGCCGTAGTTCAATACGTGGCGAGTGATTAGATAGCTGAGAGAGCGTAGTGTTGAAGAGGGCACAGCGATGAGAGTCGCATCAATGCTCGAATCAACGGGCAAGGAAGGGGTCCCATTTCTCGGGTTCTGGGCCGTTTCTCATGGTTCTTCCTTCTTTCGTGTACCACTCACCATCCCTAGGTTAATTTGAAATGGGTTGCTTTTTCATCGTGAATTCGTCCTTTAAGGCAAATATAGACGACGCCATGAAAGACCTGAATGCAGAATCACAATGAAGGAACAGCAAGCAGGGTATCACTCAGCTCATCGTTGAGCACCAAACCATGATTACAAATCAAAGTTTGGGCTCAGACCAATTCAATGAGCCTTTACTGTGGCAAGAAGCGCTAGGTACGCAAGTGCAGAGGTCGCGCACCTTCTTACATCAAGAAGAGTTGTTAGACGCTAGATGCTGAGGACTTTGGCAGACCATCAGCACTGTCATGCTCCGCCCACCGCTCGATATCTTGCCTGCATCGCAACGGTGACCTGCTATGCTCTCTCTACTCGGCTCTATCCTGCTCTCCGCGTTCAGGACGTAAGCAAACCAGCCCTTTTGGCACATCGGCTGGGACCGTATGCTGAATGTTGGGGAGGGGATGGGGTCCCCAACGGTCGACGGTTTACTTCAACTCGGTTGGTACGATAGGAGAGTACTGACGCAAGTGGTGCAGCTGGTCCAGTAGCTTCCGCCAGAAGGACCTGGTTTGCTCACCCCAGGACTAAGCCTAGGAGAGGGGACGGACCCGTCCTCTCTTTAAGGCTTAGTTCTAAGGTAAGCACCAAATTGTGGCGGTTCTAAGGACCGCGTTGAAGTGGTCCGTCCACCGTCGGGGACACCATCCCTCCCAACATTAAAGCAACAGTTCAGGAACGGTTTCGCGGGAAAAAACCACCAATAATGAAGTTGTAGATGAAAACCAGACGATTAATGTATGAAAAACTGGAAAAAAACGTCGGGGAGGGTCTTAGACAGGTACTCTCCCTCTGCCGCTCAGCAATGGATAAAGACGCACGTTGGACGAGTTGTCTGAACGTGCCCGCTGTAAACGCGCTCCATTTTTCAATCAATTTTCCCTGTGGTCCCAAAACGAGCACGATTGCCGACGCGTCCAATGACGGCCGGCAAGGGGGCGGGATTGGGGAAATCCCCAAGAACACCCATGTTTGAGGGACTTTCCACCCTGTTTTTGAGTTTCTGAGGTAAGTTCGTTTATTATTTCCACTGCATATGTTCTTCACTAGGGCTCGTGTATCCCTCAGTAGTAGTGGCATTGAAATTTTCGGACCCTCCCTGAACTGTTGCTTTAAGGGTCTCATCCGATGTCAAAGAGCTGGTGGTCTTACTCCGCGTTCACATTGCTCTCACAAAGGGGTTGGTGTTGAGGGCAAGCCGCGCTTTTTGGAAACGGTTTCTTTCATGTTGTAGGGACCACAAAACCATGTTTCATTTTCGCTGAACGGTTTTAGTAGTATCAAAAAGGGGTGAATGATACATTTGATGATCGATTTCCCCGCGGCGACTAAATTTTGCAATCAAGGTTGGCGGCCACTTGTTGGCTTTAAAATGGTCCTGACGATGAATTATGACATCTTATTTAGACTTTTAGCGCGATTTGGCACCAACCGGCCAGCCGCCAACCCAAATGCAAAATTTAGTCGCCACGGGAGATCAAACCATTAGCAACACCTTATACTTCTTTTTTGGTACTGCTAGAGCCTTTCAGCGAAAATGAAACATGATTTTGTGTTCCCATACATTCCTCTACAATAAAGAACCGCTTCGATAGAGGCGTGCGTGAAATTGCACGCTCTCTTTGTCAGCATTCATTATGACACCTGACGCAATAGTGCGTACACTGCTTCGATATTTTTTGCAACGCGGCGCCAGAACGATCTCTGCAAACATCTACTCTGCGCTAGCAGTCGAAAAATTGGGGCAACAGAAGGTGATTCCCACGCTTATTCCTCTGCGTATCTACCTTTCTTTTACAAAGCTGCGAACCTTCAACATGGTGCGTCTTTCAGGAGGCTTACATCGCTCGAGAATTGTGTAAACTTCATAACTTCGAGATTGACAACAACCTAAAATTATTTCATGCTAGGCAACCTTCTTAGTACAATTAACAACGGTGTGAATAAAAGGGATGTATATGCATATGTACATGAGAACAAATGAAATCTTTTGTCTGACGTGTGTTTCAGTTCTCGACCACTTCGTCGCCTGGGATCCAGAAACACTGAAATACAAATACATGAATACTCTGGAAAACATGTACCAACTGTCTTCGATGCCGTACCCCTAAGCAAAATCTTTTTGTTTTTTTTTTTGAATGGAAGCACCTTTGAGCCGGTGTCATCCCTCGCGAATCCAGCTAAACGCTAGCAATCGGGTACAGCGCGAGGCCTCAGCGTTCGAACTATGCTATAGTAGTGCTTGAACGCTGCACCAGCGCATGACAGGGTTTGGAAACGCTGGAGTCCCTCTCTACACTCGTAGGCTCACGCCACTTTCCCAGGCTCACAAAACGTGAGAGCCCGCGAGGACTCGGCAGCATGGGAAAGTGGGGGGGGCAACGTGCGCATGAGAGGGATCCCCCATTTAACCCATTCGCGACCGCGCAGGATTGCGCAATAGCAGCAGCGTCAGGAGATTTTTCTTCAATAAAATCCGAGTGAAGGGAGATTTCCTCTGCCCAGGGCTGGCGTAGATGAGCGAGGGTATGAAGATTCTTTCCATGGAAGAAAACTTTCCAAATTCCATTTCAAGCCCTGCAGCCACAGTAATACCATTGTCCCGAGTGAGAGCTTTGTCAGCCACCGGTGGCTGACATTGTCACGAATGGGTTAATGATCATTTTGGTCGCGTAGTACATTGTTCGAACGCTGGTGTATCGTATAAAAAGGTGGAAATTGCTCCGGCCCCACTCCTCGCTGAATTCGCAATGTCGCGGATGTCAATGCTGCAATGCTAAGATATTATCTAGTGTCTTAATCGAAAAATAAAGTCCAATTAACACTTTGGGAAGGAACATTCCATTATCCCCCTATCGGAAAAAAGGAAGAGTTATGAGTACTAAAGTTGTTCTTTAATGAAGCCGCAAAATTGGTTTTTCCAGAAAAACAATTCAGCAATTCTTGAAAACGATTTCATGGGTGTTGGGGAATTTACAAGCTGATGTCTAATTATATCAAGAATACATACCAGCTTCGTGCAGGCTGAAGCCACCATAAAATGCTTTGGATTCCACGATACAATTCTTAAGTGGTTATCGTGCTCTGTTTCAAACGTGGCCACTCTTTTACCTAAAACGACCAAAGAACTGTAAACCACGAAAGGGAACATCGTGCGGCCCAAAACAACCAAAAATGTACCTGTTTCTGTACACCAAGCATGAATGCAGCGGTCTGACGAACCACAAAAAACAAATTGGGAATCAGGCGAAAACGACGCCTCCAGCGCCTCTTGCTATAAAGAGTATAATAAAAAAAGCAATCGCTGACACTGAATATTCCGACGCAACCACGCCTAGTTAGCTTATTGTCGGATTCCTCAGAATCGTTCATGTGGTAATAATGAATAGGAACACTCCGACACTAGTATTTCAGCACCTTTAGGAATAGAGACAGAAAGCAATCACAGGACAAAATAAAATAAAAAAAAAACAAGCGCAGTGAACATTCAACAATGAAACAAACCTGTCATTTCGGTGTCCTTCGAACGTGGTCTTCAAATTTCCAGTGAATGCATCAATTAACCTGGAATACAGTAATGATGCAATCTAAGCAATCAGAATAATGCACCTTCAAATTAAATAGACATTGTAGAGCAAAATCAGTTAAGGTTCGCAGAGTAGGTGCTGTGAAACGACTTGTTTAACCCAGCTCAAAAAAGACAATAGACCATATAACATCAACAGAAGAAAGCTATCTCGAAACATTGAAGAAAAAATAATACAATACAGTAAAGTAATCTGGGGAATTACCTTATGACTGTTCCATTTGTATTGATCATTATGTATTTTCCACATGGAGAAAACGTCATACCAGTCCATTCGCACGAACGTTCAGCTTCTAATTTGAAAGTCGTGAATGGACCCTGTGAAAACGCTCAGATGACTCGGTTGCAGATGATCACAACCAAGAGCTCAATAGGACTAACCTTATCAAACGAGCGTAAGTCATAGAGTTTCACTTGCTCGTTATTTATACCGGCAGCAAATATCAATCCTTCTGGGTCGAAAGCAGCGATCGCCTTCCCGTTTACCTGCATTAAACCCTGAAAAAAATGTTAGAGTCACGCGTGTATAAAGTGAGATTGAGTGGAGAAACATGAGCAGCACTGAGAAAAAAAGCGAAACGCACCTGGCAATTCTGAGATCTCAAGTCCCACAATCGGATGGTTTTGTCTAAAGATCCAGATAGAAAAGTGTCATCTATAGGATTCATACTTAGACACATAACTCTGAAGAAGGTTTCTTGAATAATGAAACGTATTTGAAAAAGTGAAGTAAACATAATCAATTATTACAACTGTGAATACCATTGAAACTTACTTCTTCGTGTGGCCTGGGAAGTACCGTATGTATTTGTTGTCATGAAGGGATAAATAGCGGATCGTATCTGGAAATTTCTTATAAGTGGTGGATCAGAATAGAAACTGTCAACGTATGAAGAAACCACGAGGTGGAGAGAAGTTCTAGTAAGTTACAAAATAGGAAGCCAACAAGAAGCCATGTCAATGACTACTTCAAAAAATCATTTAGAAGCCGTTGAAACACTCACCATCAACCTTCGTTGAACAATGTATCGCATTACTAGTGTTGTGCGAAAACCGAATAAGATCAACGCCGTATTTCTTGCTATTCACCTGCAAGCAAGGTAGGGGTATTGAAAAATAGGTAATACAAGAAAAGCTGTGCTAAAACACTTTGTTTACTCATGTCAGATGAAAACGCAAAATAGGTCACTCTAAAAGAAGACTGTAATTTTGAAATTAGACATCGTTTAGAAAAAAATCTTACAAAAATTCAATTAAAATGACAAACACACATTTCGGGTTCTTGTTCCCGTCTGCATACTGTAGATGAAGATTGAATCGTCGTCGCTTGACGTTATCATAGTCAATCCATCAGATGAGTAATCCACACTGTTGATCTTGAAAGAAAAGTTTGCGAAAAAGAAATAACTCGAGGGACTCGAGGGACACTAATCCTTCATTGTTGTAGAAACTCCTCGAACTTTGTAGAATCAACCTGAGTTTCGAGCGCGCTACTTACTCACAAATCTGAGTCTCTGGAATCACAATGAAAACCAATCTTAAGCTATCGAGACAAGATGGTTCCAGGGATGTTCTACATTCTCTTTGTGGGCACCATCTCTACGTGAGTAACAATCCGCAATTCCTCGAAATGGCAGAGATCTGTTAAGCACGTCTGCACCCTGAGCTACCGCAAAAACGACACTAGGGCAAAGATGAACCTAGTACATTTTAGTCTCTTCAAAATAAACGATGAAAGTAACAGTTGAAACCGTATCCTGAACCTCCCAGCCGGATGAGAAATTTTTTTTGGATTTCATTTGTTTCCCATCACCCCCTAGAAAGGTCAAACAAAGGAAACTATGCTGAGCGCATACAAACTTATGTGACACAACTAACGTTTAAGCTGAGGGAAGATGTGTCTTCCGCTGACCCTTGAAAAGGTAAAAAGTGGTCTGTTATGCCCCATGTTGCTCGTATCCTAACGAAGAAGTTCTTCTTGTCCTTGATACACATTTTGAAGAAGATGTCGAATCGCGCCTTAAAGCCTATCCTAAAGGCTGAGTCCCGCCACTTTCTACCAAGGAAAATATAGAAGACTGTTCCTAAATTTTGTAGGGAAGATTGGCTCTTCTTCTCACACCCTTCAGAATACAAAATCAACGCCGATGACGCCTGAGCAAAAATATAGCCAATATCTAGGCAAAGCGCACAAATTTTCAACTCTTCTCCATGTTTTCAAGGAGCTCTCCCTGGACTACGTCCATATCGCACAAATGAGAAGGAAAAAACAAAGATGTCAAATGCATCTGAATAAAGAAAGAATAATAAGCACATACCCTCATCGAATTCTCGCTGAATTTCTTCGCACACACAAAGTGCTGCACACTTCCTGGCGTGAGCTTCATTTTGATGTATCCTGCTCCTCAATAAATGCCACAATACACACGATTACCGGTCTTCGACGGTGAACGACAGCTCCAACTAGAATAGTAGCAGATGAACTCCTATATTATTGTGTGTATTCGCGTACTTCGGATGAGTACCGTGCTTTGCGCCTAATTTTATTCGTGAATCAAGGGATAGAATCGAGTCTCACGTGAAGCAAAGATTTTTGTCACGATGTTCTTCCACGAATCCTATTTGAACAAGTTCGCAGAGTTCGTTTCAAAGAAGGGTTCTCGTTTGGCATACTTTTTTCGCGTTATCCGGTGGTATCACGACAAGTCTGCTTATGTTTGGACGGGTCTAGCACTAGCCGGTTGGGAGGCGATGACCTCCCCGACATTCACACATAACACATTTACCCCGCTCTTCCTGCTAAAACAGTAGAACAGTATCACTAAACCAAACATTTGATTTTTGCGCCTGCAGTTGAGCAGCAGCGGATAAAATGTGGCGCAGAAGTAGGTAAGTCAAAAGTCCCAGTCTAAAACATATTCAAGCATGATTTGAAGCGAAAGCAGTGCTCAGGAGCTGGGCGGTACGCATCGAAAAGGATTGAGTCTCCGTTCATAGTTGAGGAAGGGACTCATTGTCAGCAATGAGGTTCATAGA